GAATCAGTTCAAATTTAAGTTCCTCATCTACTCAATATTTTAATCAATTTCTCATGTATGAAAATGCTGGTATGTGTTTTTTTTTTATAGTTTTTCATTTCTCGATGCGTCCTTAATGTGTCGGCCATGGTCAGGAAGATGTGCCAGGTGCGCGGGAATTTATTTTGTCATTTTGACGACCTGAGCAGTGCGCCGTACTATGTTGGTAAAAAATGCGCCGTGCGCCGTACTTTAGAAAGCTAAAATAGTTCTACTATTTTAGTCGACAATATACGCGAGTATATTGACTACGCGAGTCAAACTGAGTAACTGACAATAATAAAATGTAAGACATGTCCGGGTTACTTCTGACTCTTCCGGTTGTCCGCCTTGTCGGATACCAGGGTTGGCGATTTTTTTGATTTTTTAAAAAAAATCAAAAAAAATCAAAAATCAATGATTTTTTTGATTTTTTCATGATTTTTTTGATTTATTTGATTTTTTTGATTTTTTCAACTTTTTTGTCTTTTTGAAGTGTTGTTTTTTATGTTTCAATTAGCCTACTAACAATAACAGTGTATGGATCATAATGGATGGCTAAAAAGGGCACTTATTGCCTTCAATAATGGCCAACAGGCCAAGGTGGTGTTTACCACTTAGGGATTTTTGGGTAAACAACTATTGGTAAGTCTATTCATTAGCCTTTTAAAGTTTGCATGGAGCAAGGTAATGAGCTAAATATTGACCATTTAACTGGCTTAAATATACAAAAACACTTCAGGAATGCAGATCTCCTAGACATTGAAGAGTCACATAACAGATAGGTAGCTGATAGCACAGTGCAAAGCACTATCAATAGATCTACTAGTTTCATGTCCTATAAATCTACCAGACTCTACCCTCTATACACACCTACTAGTAGTGACTGAGTGACTGACTGCACTGTTCCCATTTAATTCAGACCAATAAACCAATACTAAACATAAACTGAACGATAACCAAACAAACCTCGTATGACTTGAAACGAGACTTAAGTTATGAGAAAATCTAATACTGTTTGAAATAAACATGTGCACAATTCAAATATTTTATATCCATTCACTGCTTTAATTATTTTATAAATAGTCTTATAATTGTAATTGTTTTGTTTCTAGTTTTAAATTCACTTATTTAAAGGATGAAATTAAATACTTTAATTAGAATACTCGTATTAGCGTGGAAAATCTTTCTAATTGCCTAAAAGGTCAATACAATCTCAAATTCTCAATATACAGGGTGGGGGAGAACCGATTGAGCAGTTTTGAGGTAAAATAAAAAAGTAATGGAGGTACATAAAGAAGAAATTTTATTTTCCTAGAGGTTAGCATAACATACCATTTAGAATACTTATGTTTTGAAAACAATGTCAGGAAGATGGGGGCCGTTAGCTGCAACACACTGTTGGACAGTTGGAGTCATTCTCAGAGGAGGGAGTAACGGTAACAGTGAATTCCGATTGCTATGCTGCAATGTTGCAAAATTTCTTGCAGCCCATGATGGAAAACAATGTTGAAAATGAATCATTGGGAGATGTGTGGTTCCAGCAGAATGGGGCTACAGCTCACACAGCCCGAATGTCACTCAATGTTTTGAAACGCATGTTCCCAGACTCTGAGGGGTGATTTATAGTGGCCTGCGAGGTCACCTGATTTGAGCATTTGCGATTTCTTTCTTTGGGGACATCTAAAAGAAAGGGGTTCAGAAGTCGCCCTCACACCCTACCACAGCTAAGGGAACAGATTATTGCAGCAGAGGTTATGACCATACCTCGCCATATGTGTGAACGTGCTGTAGGAAACTTCCGAGAACGACTCCAACAGTGTGATGCAGCTAACAAACCCCATCTTCCTGATATTGTTTTCAAAACATAAGTATTTTAAATGGTATGTTATGCTAATCTTGAGGAAAATAAACTTTCTTCTTTATGTACCTCCATTACTCTTTTATTTTGAGATGACCGTTGAGCCTGAGAGCTTATAGCTTGGGGTTTTCAGCTTCTTTGTATATGAAGTTAATTGCTGCCATTTAGTGAGGTTGGCTGATGTAAGCTCAGTGCAGGATTGGGTTTGGGTAGAAGTTTACAGGGAACATATATCCCCAACCCAATGATAGCAAGACCCAAGACTAAATAGTTGACCAACTCAAATCGGATCCGGACCACAATGATGAAGTACGGAAAGGAAAATTTGAACCTGTTAGGCTAAATTTCTCAATAATTCTTTACGGGGAAATGTTAACAGTAAAGATAAATAAATCAATTTTTGTCAGTATTCATTCTATTTGAATGTGGAAATTAGCTCTTATTCTAAAGCTTTGAATTAACCGAATGGATTACTTTCATTAAAGTAATCGGGGTTGAATCCGCATTGAAAACCATTAATGTTAGCGATGTTTGAATTGCATTAGTCTATCGTCTATATTATTTACGAGCACGATTCTATTTCAGTATTTAGAGGCCATCTAGACCACATATGCAATTTTTTTGATCTGTTCTTTAGTAAGTATCGTTTTTTATGGTCACTTCTGCATTTGTCTTTGTTGAACCTGGGCAAAATCACGGTACGATTTATTCATCGAATAAAATGTTTTTTTTATGACTTTGCACATTTCTTAGGACAGTAAGAAAGTTCACAGAACGGATGTCAAAAAGTGATAGTAGGCGAAGCAGAGGCAAGGAATCTTTGCAGTATCTCACTTTGGGCTATCGGCATTGTCGAACTTTCGAAGCATTAGTGGCACTGGCCCTTAAAATACCTACCATAGTTTGCTACCAGAATTTCAAGTTGGTGACCTGCTGTCATGAATTGATCTTGTATATTTGTAAACCCTAGAACTTAGAAGTAGAACTTTTTTTCCTATAAAAGTACTATGTGTATTTGAGGCTGAGGGTCTACCGTTTACCTATTTTGATCGCTGACGGGACCTGTCCCAGGATCGTTTGACGGATGAATTGAAAAACTTTTTAGCTACCTATACAATTTTTTAGCTACCTATTCAGGCTATTGGACTTGGAAGCAGGAAAGTGCAGATTTCTTAGCCTCAGCTTCCTAGGCTCCTAGCACCTACGCCACCTAGTACCTAGCTAGCAGAAATCTTGGTATAAAATGGCAGGTAAGTTCTATTACCTAGTTGCTCAAAAAGTAGGATATACAGTATTAAGTATACACATAAATAATAAGCATCATTCATCTACATTCTACACTTAGAAGCTAGAGGCCTTAGAGACTGCTAGAGCCTAGACAGACCTTGACTTCTAGGGGAGTAGGGGTAATAGGTGAGGCTCTAAGTAAAGTAAGTAAACCAATTACAAAAGCCTGAAAAGGTCATGATTACTGGAAAATTGAATTTTTCCTATCTATTTTTATAATCTCACATCTCCAAAGTGATGTATTTTCAATTATTTTTTTTTTAATAGCTACATTTGGAATCACCTGGCCCTAATCATAGATTCATAGTGACAAAGAGATGATTTTTCATTTTTGGTGCCCTTCCTCAAGTTAATTTTTGAGGTCTATAAGTAGACTAGTAAGTATTTATATTTTAGATATCTAATGCGTGCCTTGCACAATTTAGAATAAAATTTTATATTTAATTGAATGGTTTTATTTGAATTGTTTCTTTGGTAGAATCTATTAAGCCTTTAGTAAACTTGGCTTTAACATTTTCTGAACTGAGAGTCTGAGACTGTACATATGTTGCTTGTCAGTGCTCAGAGTGCTGTCACAAAGGTAATTTTTGTGCAGTATTGAAACTCATTTGTCCAATTAGACTAACATATTGCCTTAAATTTTTGGCTGCACCATCATGACTATGCCCAGTTGCAAGTCTGGAAAACATCTACCTTTACTTTAACTTTAAGGCCGCTGCTAGAGGTTTCCTGCCATCTCTGGAACCTCAAGATTTCCGCCAAATTAATTACCTTTTATCTAATTGTTAACAAAAATGCACGATTGGGCCGCAGGATTCAAATTGTATTAAAAATTTGTCACATTGGTCATTGGAGTCGTGAGATTTCAGAAACAAGTAGGAAAATTCCAATCCTGCCCAGTTGGAGGTTTTTGTCACTTATCATATTTTTAGACTTGGTCAATGTATAAATATCACTCAGCAATGTGGGATAGACATAGAGCAAAGTAGGTATTATTTTTCATTCACCAGGTTAGGTAGCTGGCTGTTATAGGGCAAAATTGTTAATTTAAAGAAAACTGACTAGTAAACAAAGAACTATATGGCATGAATACCTGCCAACAACAACTAATATTAGTCACCTGCCAACAACAACTAATATTAGTGACCTGCCAACAACAACTAATATTAATCACCCGCCAACAACAACTAATATTAGTGACCTGCCAACAACAACTAATGTTAGTCACCTGCCAACAACAACTAATATTAGTCACCCGCCAACAACAACTACCATATTAGTCACCTGCAAACAACACTATTAGTCAGCTGATGACAAAGACTATTTTATACCTGCCAACATTGAATAGTGATCACTTAACCACAAAAGATATTGGTCGCTCACTCAATAAATTTGAACATCGTCACCCCAGCAGCAATGAATGAAAAAGTAAACACAAATATACGGCACGAAATGAACATACTTGCTGGACTAATCCTGTTTTTGCTGCAGCAGGCTTGTGTTTCTTGCTNCTGTCTCTTATACACATCTAGATGTGTATAAGAGACAGGCCTTAGACTTGACCCAACACAACTAGCATTAGTCTTGACCTGCAATGTACTAAGCCTTAGACTTGACCTAACACAACTAGCATTAGTCTTGACCTGCAATGTACTAAGCCTTAGACTTGACCTAACACAACTAGCATTAGTCTTGACCTGCAACACAACTAGACTTAGCTTTGACCCAACACAACTAGCCTGAGACTTCACCCTGTACTCATTTATTTTCACGGCGGCTCACTATTGGTGCCCAGTTCCTCAAGTGACGCCTAGCCTGGATATAACGACAGCTTTTAAGCGCCCTTCCCGTCAAAGGAAAAGGCATCTACTAACGGAGGAGGCGCTGTAGGCAGCGCAGTGACGACACTATGAGCGCCTGAAGGAGGAGCTAGGAGGGGCTGTCTAAGCAGGTGGGCAGGGGGCGGTGGTGGCGGTGGCCGGAGGTCTGAGTACAAAAACACAGCAATGAGTGCAATAAAAACATTTTATGTAATATATAGCAAGGCAAGGAAAAACTTTGACAATATAGCAATCGAATTAAACAACAGCGCTGAATGTAAAAATTACTTGGGTAATACAGAGAATCAATTAAAAAGTATTAACATTTTGTTCATCAAAACGTAAAATAAGACACAGTGATAGACAAGAATATTAATATTTATATAGCAAACATCCAGCTAAGCAAGAATATCTATTATGTACAAAATTACTTTTTGCAACTAAATGAGCCTGGAAATTACATAATCTTATTTGGAATTAGTCTTCACAATGGTTGAGGAATAGAATTATTCAAGTGATAGAATAATTATGTTTCAAGGAAATATAAATTAAGTTCAGCAGCTCTTATGGGGTAAACATGAAAAAATTACATTTTTGAATGAACTAGAAAACAAAGGATAGATATAACCAGTGCTGATTCTGGATGGATATAACCAGAATAAGCACCAAGGGATGGATATAACCAAAGGATGGATATAACCAAAGGATGGATATAACCAAAGGATGGATATACTCAAAGGATGGATATAACCAGTGCTAATTCTGCTCCTTACACTGACAGTAGGTATCCTACAAAGGATGGATATACTCAAAGGATGGATATAACCAGTGCTAATTCTGCTCCTTACACTGACAGTAGGTATCCTATTGTTTTAGCTCAGAATTCTAATAGATTCCAGAGAAAAGCTAATCTGTCCCTAAAAGATAATGGAAACATAGGCAGTCAAGATTACTCACTTGGTGGCCTCATGAGCTGAGGGGGGACAAATGCTGGGGACATGCGTGGGGCCATGGGAGGGGGAGGACCATGAGGTGTGTGAGGCCCTACAGCTTGAGGACCTCGAGCCATGTAGGGTCCATTAGATCCTTGCATGTTGTAATCATTAGGGCCTTGAGGCCCATAAGGTCTGTATGGGCCTGGGCCATTAGAATATTGTTGAGGGGGGCCATAATGCTGAGGGCCAGACGGGCCATATTGATCTGGGGGGGCATTAGGCCCAAAGGGACGATGAGGCGGGCCTTGATGTCTTAGAGGGGCCATATTAGGGGCAGCACCAAGAGGCCTTGGGCCACAAGGCCCTACAAATGGAGGTCTTGGTCCTCCCTGCATATGGTCAGGAACACTTCCATCAGGGTTGGGAGTCTGGCCCACAGGAGGGGGAGGCCGGGGTCGCCCCAGAGTAGGAGGTCTGGGAGGTGGAGGCAGCGGAGGCAACGAAGACTTTGTCCCTGGCTCTTTTCCTCTGTTTTTGAATTCCTGAAAGGTTATATTACATTAGTATAATAAATCATAGTTGAGAAATTAGATGTAAAGAAATGATGCCTTATAATTCAAATCTTTATAAGAATAAAAATTATACCATAATTTTTTTCAAACCGGACAAATATGAAGCACAAATTAGGTTACTAATGGTAATAGGGACTTGAAAATAAATATGAATATTACTAAATATCTATATATATGCTGGTAACTCAATTCCTTCACATATATACAATCATCAAACAGGGCACCACCTAGAAACTTACCTCGTGCCTGTCATCAGAATCAATATTTGACTCAGGAGGAGAACCTAAAATTTCCGCTTCAAACCTGCACATAAATGAACCTGATTTAAGCATTAACTCAGCTAGTGAAACGTGGGCATCCTTAAAAAATATTTACCAACATCATACCAAAAGGCATATGCCAAATTTAAAAATCCACATGATGTGGATTGCCAAATTTGAATGCAGCTCAGAATTGCAAACTAAAAATATTTACATAAAATTTAATACAAAAAATATAATGAATTGTATTAAAGCAATGTGATAAATATTGAGAATTACATCAAGCTAACTATGTATATATAATTTTGAGTAACTAAGTTTTTGTATCATATAGGTACTTTATTTACTGCATAAGAAGGCTAGGAATATTGCTGCTGCTGATGTCATCATAGAATAGTTAAGGCCACATGATTGCTTGTTATTGGAAGATCATCTAAAAAGCAGAACAGCCATGATCCTGGATACTATTACTCAGTGCCATTGGGAGTGCATGACACTGATTTAATATGGAAAATGCTTAAGAATTCAAAGATATATTATAAAAAAATTATTTATAAGATAGAATTTCCTAAATTCCTAGAGGGATTAATTAATTAAACTTTGAATGAAAAATAATTAAAGTTGCTCTTTTGATGAACCTGAAATTACCAAATCTAGATATCCACATAAATATCAGGAGTACATAAAAAATATTCTCTGATGACAATTGAATAGTTTTGAGCTCAGCAAGTAAGGATTTGTTATGAATACTCACCTTGACATTTCATCATCAAGGAAACGTCTCTTCTCACAGCCATTAGCCATTGTTGACAATCAAATTTATTGTGTCTTTGTGAGAACACACTTCAAATCAAGAAGCTGCAAAAATAAATGGAATATGAAAATTAATTAATTATAAATATGATCACAGTATTTTAATGACAAAGAGCTAGTCAGATGATTAGAATTATAAATGTTTTTTTAATATTATCTAAAAAATATTGGTAAAATAAATGATTATGGTAATCACCAATCATGAATAAAAAATAAAATTCCCCAGTCTCCTACATGAATTGGCTGATTTTACAAGTTAACTGGTTTAGTCATTATTTCTATCAAGAATTATAAACTATTCATCAATTAAAACTGAAATTTGCACCTGTGTTCAAACAATTATATATCATCTACCAATTCATACAATTTATTCTTCTACATTTCTAATTAGGCTAGGTAGGGCCTAGGTGCATGGATTTTATCTAAAATTACCTAAGGCAGTAAGGCTAAGGCTAAGGACTAAGAATTCTGTTGAATGTTCCAAATTAGTACTTGCCTGGCCAGCTGGCCATAACCTAGCACAGAAACAATTTACTTTTTGAATTTAGTTATTAAGATTTAAGCCTTGCTACTACTAGTATGAAAAAGATCTCTTTGAGCTGCAAGTTGATTTTGCCGTTCGGAGTCCTGTAGTCTAACTAGTAACTAAGAACCTGAATTAAAATAGTGAACCACTAACCAATGGCTCAACAGGCCCATCATCATATGTTTCAGTTCCAGCACTCATGACCATGAGTCATGATAGAATTGTAACATGATGAAGAAGAACTAATATGTGAAGAATGTGATATGTCAGCTACAGCTCTCTACTTCAATATTTCAAACTTTATGAAAAGTTGAAGATCATTAGGATATTTGATCATTGAAAGCAAATAGCATTTATAACAATATGAAGTTATGAACTCATCGTAATTTGTAATAGGTACTGAACATCGTCTCGAAAGCGAAACCAAGGCTTTGAATCTCTGACACGACTTTCTTTCAGTTGTCACGACACGCATCCATTAAATGCCTTAACATGTTGGCCGCGATGTGCGCCATATATGTACACGCTGTACTTCTCAGAATCGCGATGTGTACACATGTGGTACATTCATATGAAAAATACATATTTTTATAAAATCTTATTACTCTTTCAAATTTAAAATTTCAATGATGCAATTAAATAGGCATGTTAGGGAATGCTTTGAAGTCAACTACTGCTNATTCTATTTCAGTATTTAGAGGTCATCTACACCACATATGCGAATTTTTTATTCTGTCCTTTAATAAGTATAGTTATTTATGATCACTTCTGCATTCCTCTTTGTCATACCTGGGCAATATCACGGTACGATTTATTCATCGAATAAAATGTTTTTGTGACTTTGCACCCTTCTTAGGACACTAAGAAAGTTCACAGAACGGATGTCAAAAAGTGATAGTAGGCGAAGCAGAGGCAAGGAATCTTTGCAGTATCTCACTTTGGGCTATCGGCATTGTCGAACTTTCGAAGCATTAGTGGCACTGGCCCTTAAAATACCTACCATAGTTTGCTACCAGAATTTCAAGTTGGTGACCTGCTGTCATGAATTGATCTTGTATATTTGTAAACCCTAGAACTTAGAAGTAGAACTTTTTTTCCTATAAAAGTACTATGTGTATTTGAGGCTGAGGGTCTACCGTTTACCTATTTTGATCGCTGACGGGACCTGTCCCAGGATCGTTTGACGGATGAATTGAAAAACTTTTTAGCTACCTATACAATTTTTTAGCTACCTATTCAGGCTATTGGACTTGGATGCAGGAAAGTGCAGATTTCTTAGCCTCAGCTTCCTAGGCTCCTAGCACCTACGCCACCTAGTACCTAGCTAGCAGAAATCTTGGTATAAAATGGCAGGTAAGTTCTAGTACCTAGTTGCTCAAAAAGTAGGTATATATACAGTATAGGCCTACACATAAATAATAAACATCATTCATCTACATTCTTCGCTTAGAGGCTAGAGCCTAGACCATAGTGGCAAACCAGTGATTTTTCAGAATCAGTTCATTTTTAGTTTCCTCATTTTCCCAAGATTCAAGCCAAAATCTTATGTATGATGATGCTGGTATCCATGATACTTTTCTGCTCTACTTATAGGACTTGAAATAGAACTTGAAGAAGAGTCTAAAAAACTCTCTGCTTTGCCACTATGGCCTAGACTGCTAAACCTTGACTTCTAAGTTCTAGCACTTCTAGGGGTAATAGGTAAGGCTCTAACTCTAAGTAAAGCAAGTAAACCAATTACATAAGTGTCATGATAACTGGAAAATTGAAATTTTCCTATCTATTTTTTTAATCTCACAGCTCCAAAACTACAAACTACAAAGTGATGTATTTTTAATAGGCTAGCTACATTTCGAAATTGGAATCACCTGGCCATAATCATAGTGGCAAAGATGATTTATCATTTTTGGTGCTCTTCCTCAAGGTCATTTTTGAGGTCTATGCCTAAGTAGACTAGTAAGTATTTTGGATATCTAATGCAGTAATGCTTGCCTTGCACAATTCAGAATAAAATTTTATATTTGATTGAATGGTTTTAATTTTATTTGAATTGTTTCTTTGGTAGAATCTATTAACCCTTTACTACCTTTAGTAAACTTGGCTTCAGCATTTTTTGTACTGAGACTGTACATATGTTGCCTGTCAGTGCTGTCACAAAGGTAGGTAACTTTTGTGTAGTAGGTACTAGGTAGGCCTATTGAAACTTGTTTGTCCAATTGGACGGTATTATTGCAGATTAACTACATCCAAAAAAAGGGTGTTTTTTTTTAATTATATGTTTTTTGGGGTGTAGATTACGAATCTGAAATCCATTTTTGGCGGTCGGCATCGGAAAACCGATTTTTTTCGCGACTTACTAACATGGTTTTTTTGGATGTAGTTAATCTGCAATAATACCTATTGGACTTGCATATTGGCCTTAATTCTTGGCTGCACTATCATGACTATTGACTACTTGACTAGGCTATGCTCAGTTGCAAGCCTGGAAAACATCTACCAACTACCATTATTTTAAGGCCGGTACTAGAGGTATTCCGCCATTTCCGGAACTATGGGATTTCCGCCAGATGAATTACCTTCTATCTAATTGTTAACAAAAGTGCATGATTGGGCCGCAGGATTCCAATTGTATTAAAAATTTGTCACATTGGAGCTGTGAGATTTCAGAAACGAGTAGGAAAATTCCAATCCTGCCCAGTTGGAGGTTTTTGTCACTTATCATATTTTTAGACTTGGTCAATGTATAAATGTCAGCACTGTGGGTTAGAGCAAAGTAGGTATTATTTTTTCATTCACCAGGTTAGGTAGCTGGCTGTTATAGGGCAAAATTGTTAATTTAAAGAAAACTGACTAGTAAACAAAGAACTATATGGCATGAAAAAATATTTTAAAATCTTTACCACCCACTTGAATAAACAAATGTATTATACGTCAATTGGTGCCTAAATTTTACTCAGTCTAGCTGCCATTTTATGCTGAAATCTATTGAAAAGAACTATACAATGGCTGGTAAGTTTTTAAAAGTTATTGTGTCTATATAATTCTCAAATCTAATTGTTGAAAATTTTTTTAAAATGACTTTTCTTACTTCTAGATCAAACCCTGCAGGTAATTTGATGTCTGCTAAGATATTTGGTTTCCTACTAATTTCTTACTTTGTTTCAGGTCGTCCTAAGAGGAAGGGACCAGAGCTCAAGTTTGTCATCAATGAAGAACCAGCAGCCAAACCGTGTGTTCTCATTCCTATTATATTTTAATTCTGTTCTTATCTTGCTCTTTTGGAATAAATACAATGTACAAATAATTTAAAACTGAATATAACAATAAGGCAAAATTATTTAATGTTATCTACTTTTTTTTAGAAGTGCATAAATTATAGATTTATTGTTGTCTTTATCTTAAGGAAACATTATCAACTATAAAACACCTCCCCATCCAGTGGGTAGTTTGTTCATTGTTCTTCTAGGTTATAAGTGAAAAATGTTGATAATTGTGTAGTGCATGTTCCTGGATGCCTGTGAATAGAATTAGTGCTACTATATAGTGAGCCAAATAACAACTTGAAATACCTTCGACAGGCTTTGAGACAAAATAAATGTAGCTTTTAATGCTGACATTGTAGCTGTAATTTAACCTACTCCAATGCCATGAGACAAGAAGATGAATTTTATGTTGCATACTTGAGAATTTTGTTGTATTAGGTTTTCATTAGTTCACTCTATAGCTGCTGTGAGTTGAGGGGACTTTATTACCTATATCTCAGTTGCAAATATTATGGCTCTGAATCTAACCTTAAGAAGATTTTGCCAAGGTTTTCACCATCTTATTCAAGTTTTATATTGCAATGTAACTTTTTAAAACCTAAAACTTCCAATTAACAATTCATGAAACACAATAATGTCAACAGCTCATGAGCTAAGAATTAAAGTCTCATTTAAATTTTTTATGTACAGGGAGGTGCCCCGCGGCCTTGACTCCAAAACCAGCATCACCGTGGAGGGGCAAGAAATCAATGTTGAAGCACGAGAACTCGTGAGCCTGGGAGAGCTTGGACGTGGGGCTTTTGGTGTTGTTGAAAAAATGAAACACACTCCATCCAACACAATCATGGCAGTTAAGGCAAGTCAGGAGTTCTGCCATTATGATTCTATTATTTCTCAGTATTTATCTTCAAGGGTCTGTTTTGATAAGGTGATGGCTATTTCTGTGCTATAATCCTGTGTATTTTATCCTCTTTTATCTATTTTTATAATTGGGGATTATTTGTTCTATGGTTAGAAATGTGTGAGCCATTTCATACTGCATCATATGTACTCTAATTTTACTGCATTAGCTTTAGTGTATTAAGTATTTCAGTATTATAAACAGTACCTATATTTGTTATTTGTGTATCAATTCTCTTATGTGTCTGAATGTTTCCTGCAGCGCATCACAAGCACAGTGGACATGAGAGAGCAGCAGTGTATGCTTATGGACCTTGACATCTCGATGCGCACTGCAGCCTGCCCATACACAGTGCACTTCTATGGGGCCCTGTTCCGAGATGGCGATGTCTGGATATGCATGGAAGTCATGCTCACATCCCTAGATAAATTCTACCCTAAAGTCTATGCCACCCAACAAGTCTTCCCTGAAGAGTATGTAGGGAAAATCGCTTACTCGGTAAACAATGCTAGATTTATCCATCTATTAGTACTCCGTGTAGGTAAATTAGCCTTTCATTTTTTGTAGCTTAACCTGGATAATTATCTGCAAATCTATTTTTATCTTCAACAATTCTGAATGAAATGTTAAACTCGTCCCACAGTTCATGTAATTATAGTGCAAAATCAGCAATGACAAAGCTAGTACCGGTACCGGTAAATCATTGGTCTAGTGACTGACGTTTCTACTAGGTAAATTGTTCCTTCATGGTAGATCTGACAAGCTTCTTCCACCCTATCAGGTTGTGTGTGCGCTGCATTACCTGCACTCGAAGCTGCAGGTCATCCACCGCGACGTGAAGCCATCCAATATCCTCATCAGCCGCCGGGGCGAGGTTAAGATGTGCGACTTTGGCATCTCGGGATACTTGGTGGACTCAGTGGCCAAGACTGTGCAGGCTGGGTGCAAGCCCTACATGGCGGTGAGTGTAGATTGAGTGCAAGCCCTACATGGCGGTGAGTGTAGGTTGAGTGTAAGCCCTACATGGCGGTGAGTGTAGGTTGAGTGTAAGCCCTACATGGCGGTGAGTGTAGGTTGAGTGCAAGCCCTACATGGCGGTGAATGCAGGTTTAGTGCCAGCCCTACATGGCGGGAAGTGCAGGCTGGGTGCAGGTCCAACATGGCGGTAAGTGCAGACTGGATGCAAGCACTACATGGTGGTGAGTGCAGGCTGGATGCCAATTATATATGGAGGTGAGTGCAGGCTAGAAGCAACACCTACCTGGCCGTGAGTGCTGCTGATCTAATGTTATGAATTACTCTCTTTCATTGCTCAATACCAATACGAACCTTGCACTTTTTGTAGAGCTTGTCATTGCATTAATAATTGTGTTGTGTACCGTCTTGCACTCAACAAAATCCTTTCTTGTGCAGCCTGAGCGCATTGACCCACAGGGGGACCCGTCTCGCTACGGCATCCGGTCGGACGTGTGGTCCCTGGGCATCTCAATCGTGGAGATTTGGGCATCGGCTAAAACGATCGTAAATCACGTGCGCTTGTGTCGATCATTAGGCATCGGCCACTTTGATCGCAGAGAGCGCGCTTGTATTGATCATTAGGCATCTTCCACTTAGATCGCAAAGAGCGTGCATCAGTATTGTTCACTGGGCATCGGCTAAAACGATCGTAAATCGCGTGCGCTTGTGTCGATCATTGGGCATCGGCCACTTTGATCGCAGAGAGCGTGCTTGTATCGATCATTATGCATCTTCCACTTTGATCGCAAAGAGGGCGCATCAGTATTGATCACTGGGCATCGGCTAAAACGATCGTAAATCGCGTGCGCTTGTGTCGATCACTGGGCATCGGCCACTTTGATCGCAAAGAGCACGCATTAGTGTTGATCATTGGGCATCGGCTAAACCGATCGTAAATCGCGCGCGCTTGTGTCGATCATTAGGCATCTTCCACTTTGATCGCAGAGAGCACGCTTCTGTGTTGATCATTGGGCATCGGCTAAACCGATCGTAAATCGCGCGCGCTTGTGTCGATCATTAGGCATCTTCCACTTTGATCGCAAAGAGCGCGCATCAGTGTTGATCATTGGGCGTCGGCTATATAGATCGTAAAGCACGTGTGTTTGTGACGATCGCCAGGCATCAATCGTAAAGTACGTGTGCCTGTGTCGATCATGCAGCATTGGCCGAGTGGTCATTATTTCTATTAAGATGAACTATTCATCAAATAAAACTGAAACTTGCACCTGTGTAAATTTGTTCAAACAATTATAAATCATCTACCAATTCATGCAATTTATTCTTCTACATTTCTAATTAGGTGCATGGATTTTATCTAAAAATAAAATTAGCCTACCAAAGAATGCTAAGATTTAGGCTAAGAATTCTGTTGAATATTCCAGATTGGTAGCTACTTGCCAAGTATCCTGGCCATAACCTAGCACCATAGCACGGATTTACCACAGAAACAATCTACTAGGCCTATTGAATTTAGTCATTAAGATTCAAGCCTTGCTACTGCTAGTATGGAAAAGATCTCTTTGAGCTGCAAATTGAGTTCGCCGTTCGGAGTCCTGTAGTCTAACTAAGAAGAACCTGAATTCAAATACCTACCTAGTAAACCATTAACCAATGGCCCATCATCATGCATTTCAATTCAAGCACTGAACATGATGAAGAATGAAGATGAACTAATATATGTCATTATGTGATACGTCATCTACAGCTCTCTACTTCAAAAGTTCAGACCCACTGTCAGGATGATGTATTTTTTCGGTGAATTTTCCCGTGCATTTTCACTTTTTTAAGCTATTGCTGTGCACAGTTGGCGCAATGTAATGAAAATTTATTCTCTTCGCGCACGTGTTCGCGCAATCCCGGCCATCAATTCTTCGTCGCGCTGCCGCGCACGAGCAGTTTGTGGAGGAACAGACATAATACTCACATTACTCAGTACAGTATGCCTTTAATTATCTTTCAATAATATATGATTTTTCTTGATATGGAAATTGGGTGAATGAGAAACTTAGAACTTTATTTTAGAAGAAATTTTGTCCAAAGTCATATGGCAATACTGAACACCATCTGTTTACATTTCGTATGTATAATAGCCGCAGTTTACGATTACCGTACGTTCCGTATCCAACAAGGCGGACAAGCGGAAGAGTCAGAAGTAACCCAGACATGTCTTACATTTTATTATTGTCAGTTCGACTCGCGTAGTCAATATACTTGCGTATATTGTCGACTAAAATAGTTCGCGTATATTGTCGACTAAAATAGTAGAACTATTTTAGCTTTCTAAAGTACGGCGCACGGCACATTTTTTTACCAGCATAGTATGGCCACTACGGCGCACCGCGCAGGTCGTTAAAATGACAAAATAAATTCCTGCGCACCTGGCACATCTTCCTGAGTCCTGACCATGGGTTCAGACTACAAAAAGTTGAAGATCATTGGGATGCAGGGTTGGCGATTTTTTTGATTTTTTTAAAAAAATAAAAAAATCAAAAATCAATGATTTTTTTTATTTTTTCATGATTTTTTTTATTTGATTTTTTTGATTTTTTCAACTTTTTTGTCTTTTTGAAGTGTTGTTTTTTATGTTGCAATTAGCCTACTAACAATAACAGTATATGGATCATAATGGATGGCTAAAAAGAGCACTTATTGCCTTCAATAATGGCCAACAGGCCAAGGTCTGTCTCTTATACACATCTAGATGTGTATAAGAGACAGCTTGTTAGCTATGTACAATGTATTGCACACTTGATGCCTCTGTACCAAAAACATTCAATTTATTGGAACCTAATACACACTAAAGGCAACAAGTTTATATACCAATTTGTCATTTATAGTACATTTATACTAAACCATGAATAACAATACCTCAATATAAATTAAAGACTGCCACTCAATATATTTAAATATATGAAAAAATCAAAAAAATCAAAAATATCGAAAAAATAAAAAAAATCATGATTTTTTTATAAAAAAATCAAGTGATTTAATCACATGATTTAATCATTGCCAACCCTGTTAGGATGTTTGATCATTCATCATTGAAATTTGAAAGCTATATGAACAATGAACTCATCGTAATTCGCAACACTGAACAAGTGAACATCGTCTGATTTGTCTTGAAAGCAAAACCAAGGTTTTGAATCTCTGACACGACTTTCTTTCAGTTATCACAACACGGCACACGCATCCTAGTATGGAATATATCTACTTGGCGAGCCGCGACTGAATTTTTCGAGCCGTGGTTTTATGGATTTGCCAGCCGTGATTCCATTTCTACGAGC